CTCTGGTTCATAAAACATAAAACATATTTGGATTTTCAAAACGGATGTAATGATATTATTATTAATAATACTATTCGCATGTTGGTACCCCATTGACTGTATGCTACGTAATAACGATACGTAATTAAAAATAAAATTAAACATAATAGCTGTATTCTTACGATGTCTAAATTGGAATTGCATTTAATTTCAGCCTTCCCCATTTCCCTTCTTTAACAATACAATGTTTGGAGAAGTGTTTTGAGCAAATGCGGCTATTCTTTGTCCAATGGTTTTGTGCCCGTGGAATTACTCTCATCCAGTTTTTTTCCAATTCTTAATTGTTTTTAAGCATACTAAAATAACGAAAAAATAAAGAAGAATGTCGATATGGTCGTAAGATATGTCGACTTTGCCGATATGCCATAAAACAGCATCACTATTGTTTATAATAAATTTTATATTTCAATGTATTTTAGCGATTATATATAACAAATAGTCTCATTTTTACAAAAAATTGACTTGTTATTTTCAAAATAATGTGAAATGCAGTTTACTCACAGTTATGATGTAATTTAATTCTAGGATAATAAAAACGTGCACACCGCTGGAAGTTCACGAATTTTTCCACGTTCCTTACGGGAAGAACGAAGAAAAAAAGGATTCTATACCCTACCTATACCTAAATAAATAGAATGGTCTCTATGGATAGATGGACTCTACCCGTAACGTCCATTCCATTTGTGTATCATATTAATATAATGCCATTATCATTCATCATCATTAAAACCCTTCACAAGTCCACTGCTGAACATAGGCCTCCCCCAAAGAAAGCCACAAAGCACGGTCCTGAGCTAACTGCATCCATCAACTTCCTGCATGTCTTACCAGGTTTTGACTCCATCTAGTGGGGGAACGTCCTACACTTCACCTGCCGGTACGAGGCTGCCACTCGAGAACCTTTTTTCGCCATCAGTATTCGGTTCTTCGAGCTATATGGCCGGTCAATTGCCACTTCAGCTTACTAATCCATTGGTCGATGTCGGTCACTCTGGTTCTGCTGCAGATTTCCTCATTCCTAAGTTTAAACCCCTGAGCATAGTCCTCTTCATAGCTCGCTGAGCGACTTCGAGCTTTCTCATATGCCCAGCGGTGAAAGACCTCGTCTCATATCCATAGGTCATCACTGGCAACACGCGCTGGTTGTACATTCTAGTTTTGAGGTATTCCTGATGAGAAAATGTGTTGCAATCTCCCGAATCCGTCGATTGACCTGTCGGTCGAAGTTCAACTTACCTAGTCGGACTATTTGTCCCATGTAAAAATACTCGTGAACAACTTCAGCTAAGTGCTCCCAAAAACTACCGGCATAGGTGTGACATGGACATTACACATGACTTTTGTTTTGTCCATGTTCATCTTAAGACCTATCAGTTGGGAGACTATTGAGGTCATTGAACATAGTGCGTAGGTCTTCCAGCGATTCTGCCATAAAGACTATATTGTCGGCAAATCAAAGGTGAGTGATGTACACGCCATTGACGTTAATACCGTACCCAGTATCTTAAAAACGTCTTCCAATGCGGCAGTAAAGTATTTCGGAGATATTACGTCACCCTGTCTTACACATCTCTACAGTTGGATTTTTGAATTTTTCCAAATACTACTGAACCAATGTTTATAAAATTTATGTGGGACTACCTCTGAAACTTGATCTAACGAACAAAGAAAGAATCAATAAAATTTATTATTAATTGACGGAGTAATCGTTACTCATACATACATAAAAAAACACAGTCGAATTGAACCACATCCTTTTTTTGAAATCGGTTAAAAAATAAAGCCCTTCTCGGTTTGCACTCGAAAACCACACACAACAACAACAAAAATATCTAAAACTGTATTACAGTTTGCAGATGTGCGAAATTCGGTGTTTCAGAGATACAGAACAAGTAGATATAAAAACACTGATTTTGAATTAATTTAAAACTGTATTAGCAGCTTGCAAATGTTTAAAGATCGTTGCACAGAGTACTTTTTTATGTATAGAAAGATCGGTGTTTCATAAGTAAGGAACATGTAAAACAAAAAAACCGAAACTGAACCCGTAAAATTCAAAACCGGTTCAACTTGTACTGTGTAACTTGTATAACAACAAGTGGTTGTACAACTCCATGTTATGTCCCGCTACAAACTTTAGGTATTTTCACACACCCAATTCCAATCTTTGTATAAACCTTAAATTTATTTTTAAAAGACACTTTATTTCACTGTATCAATGTATAAAAATACAATTTTTCATATTTTTTTAATTAGAAATAAACTAGGTATTCTACAAAAAGTTCCATTTCTTGGTCATAATTTGACGAAGTCATTTTTTAATCATGTCATTCGATGGTGTAAGATCAATACAATTCCATTTCGGTGAAAAGGTTGTTGAGCCAGAATGTTTTTTCTTGCAGTCATTGTAATCAGTCTATTTCTTTTCTTGGTTTTAATGTTAACTGATAAAAAATCTCTTAGATGCAGCATTGAGGTGGGGCACGGACAAAATGTTGAACATAAAAGCCAAATTTAATAAGTAAGTTCAAAACATAAATACAGTTGCAGATTTTAAAAATAAGCGTAAATAAGGTTTCTACATTTATTTGAAAATATCTGAAATTGAATGTGATTTATGGGCAACAACTACAGCGCGTACGCGAGCTCATTTGTGTAAGCCTACTACATAGCTATTTACTTCCTTGTTTCCTTAGTAAGGAATCCTTACTGACACGCTCGCTACTAAGTTGATAGGTACCTTACGTGACGCGAATTATGATCTCAATTTTCCCTTCATACTTTAAACGGACTGAGGACCGTTATAACAAGCAAATTAAAAAAAATACGGTTGACCCTACTTGCCATCCCTGGAACTTCCCGCTAATTTCAAATGCAAAGTGTTTCATATTTTACATGTTATAACAGTACAGGTTTCAGGATAGAATTGATATAAAAATTTTACGAGTTATTTTTAAAAAAAAAAAAACACTTTTTGGAGATTTCTTTCGACAACGATATCTCTTGAACGAATCAACCGATTTTAATGCGGTTTGCAGAAGTCGTTTTTTGAGTAGAAGAGCTAATTAGATCATACAATTGGGTGTAGAAGTAATTCCAAAAATATAAATTTATGAAAATTAAAAAACTTGAATCATTGAGTTTTTTCCGGAATCTATCGTGCCGATTCGGTCTAAATTCACAAGGGATCTTCAGCAGGGGCCTTTCGGATGCCGCAAACCGCTTTTCGATCAGACACTCCGTTACAAAGTTATGAGAGTATTATACACACACACACACACGCACACACGTGTGCACACACACACACACACACACACACACACACACGTTCACACACACACACACGCAATCGCGCGCACACACACACACACACACACACACACACACACACACACACACACACACACACACACACACACACACACACACACACACACACAATACGCATACGCGCACACACGCACGTACACACACACGAAAACGCACACGCAGCACAGAAAAAAGGACATTAAAGCCAAAATAACTTCCTGGGACCTCGAAACGTTCAAATTCGGTAATATGATGATACCTCGATTTTCGAAAATTGAAGTGAAAACAATAACCTCTCGATTTTTTGAAAATCTTTGATTTTTATAGAAGGAAGAAAATTTACATTTCATCGATGTATTTCATCGACGTAACCAATGACTGTCTTTATTATGGCGTATTTAAAAAAAAAATAAGTATTTACAACTATTAAAATTTTACAACAACGAACTATTTACATTTTTGGTGCTAGTGCGGGGCTTTTGCTCGAAAAACCCACTCGCTGCGTTTTCGACTGCCAGGCTTATTACTGAATGGTCATCTTGAGCACTTCCATGTGACGGAGTTGTGAACTATCCAAAGTCTAACAGCCTTCTGTTTGTGGCCAAAATTATACTTCTATTGGGTGTGTACGTGCGTTATTTCCATGCCTTTGCAAACGCGGTAACAACGATTACTTTCATATAATCTTTTCGCACTACGTAAACTTTCATTGCAAATAATGACAGACAATTTTGTATCGAGAAAAAACACTATGGCTCCAGTCCGCCGTTGGTCCGTATTGCTCTATACCCCCCTAAGCAAGAACATAGAAGCGCCTGTGTCATAGAACATACTATATTCAATGCTAGCGTCGAACATAGGCCCCTCAGAAGAATAACTTGGTTTAGTTGTTGTTCCTGAGTATCGATCCTCACACAGTCGATACAGTCGTCATAGATTTTCTTTTTAATTTTGTGTTATTTATTGACCCGTAATTTTGCAGCCCTCAGTTATTACACTTAATTACTACAACTGCTATGATAAATTAGCCCTCGCTTGTGTATTTATTAGTTTCACATAAAGCAAAGCATATTCCATTAGAGCCGTTTTACTCAATGGAAACTAGTGGAGTAATTAGAGTTTTTGAATATTACAGAACAAAATTTGCACAACCAAACCGATTCGGATTAATGTTAAATTATATTACTATAGTTTTACGATCGTATGTGCGTACCCATACATGGTAATATACATAATATCTGGGCATAAGAAACATAGAGTTGTAGGTTGATAACTGTTCGACTGATTACTTATAAAGCAAATCAAATTAAGCAATCGATGGGGTGGAAGATGTTGAGCAACAATCGAGTTGTTGATATGCGTATCTTCAAACGTTCCCATATATTTTGACAAATAACAACTGAACAGTATTATATGGTGCACCTAGCCTTGATATAAAAATTTATTTTGGCTGGCTAGAATAAAGCGGTCACTTATCAAAAATACATTGTCGTTTTCTTAAAAAGTCATTATGTCATTTGATGACATTTAATTAAATTAAAATTTGAAGTTAAAAAAATTTAAGTAATAATTAAATAAACATTTGTAAAACTCCAAAGATATATAAATATTAAAAAAATATGGCTGTAACCAATGCCATGTTTATTTTTGAGGTCGTTGTGCAAAGTGTTAAGAGTATGATTGAAAGTACAAATTTAATTATAAGAAGTGAATTTGCTGACATATTTTCTCTTGAACTGAAAGACCCCAAACAAATGCATATAGTAATTCCAGAACCACTTCCTTTACCTCCAGCACCACCTGGTAAAAAAGGAAGGAAGAAAAAAAAAGCTAAGCCAAAGCGTAAAAAAGGAAAAAAGAAAAAGGGAAAAGTTGTGGAAGCGCCACCATCTGAACCTGTTATACAGTCGGGGCAGTCAGTTCTATTTTCATCTAGCGCTGAACTCCTTATACAGAATATGAAAAGATTCCCTCTTGAACTATCACTGTGGAATAAAGAGGAAAACTTGTCTTACATTGGCTCTATATCAATACCGTGGGACCCAATATTTTTACAATATTTGGAAACTATTTATAAATGTCAGGACACACCGCCTGTAACGCTAAACGAAGAATATAATTTATTTGAAGAGGTTACGGCAAAATTGATAGCAAAGATCGGAATTCAAGTTAAACTTTCGTACTTAGGAGACAAAGTCACTGCAGCTTTTCGGACTCTCTCTGAAGATCCAGTGATAAAAAAAGTTTTGTACACAGGCATGAATTCTAAAACTACTTCGTACATGTGTACAATGAAAACAACCGATGAAATATTTGTAGAAAATTGTAACAAAATTGAAAATAATTTTGTTAAAGATAAACCACAACCTAATAAAATCATTTACGCTGATTATAAAAACGCTCCCGAAGCTAAATACAATATCTTTAATGATGGAGATTACTGTTGTATGAATAACGCAGATAAGCCCCCTAACACGATATATAAGGCACCAGAAACATGCCCAGATATAGATTTTATAGCTGACTATGTAAGAAAAATCATAGCGTCGTGTAATGATAACATGAGAATGCTAACACCGCGTCCCACAATTAAACCGCGAATAAAAGCGACAGATATTGATAGACTTTGTTACTGTAAAGAAACAAAGTGGCCAGAAAACGAAATATCACAAAGGTTTAAAAACGAGGTACAAAATGAACCATGTCCAAAATGTTTAAGTACTGAGAAAGAGGCACGTTCAAATACGAATGTTACATGTTTCGATATAGCTAATATCAGGGGACCTTGCGGACGACATGATTGTAGAATAGCAAGAGATATGAGAGCTTATATAGAAAACCTTGTTGAAGAAGATAAAAAAGAAATCAACATAGACGAAATATTTGGACCATGTGGCAGCAAGGAATGTACATTAGCTGAAAAAATACAAGAATTTCTCCGACGAGAAGGAATATTTAATCAGAGCAACACATTAGAAGGTCTCTCTACACAGTGTGCATGCATAAAACAAATGCAAACTTCATTAAAAAAGCGAAAATCGTGTGACACCATTTGTAGTGAAGATTGTGATACCAGCGATAGTGGGACAAACTATTGTGATACGAAGGATTGTCCTTTTCGTGAAAATACTGAACCGAAACAAGTTTATGACGTTTATTACTTTTTTGTGCAATATGACTTTGACAAAAAATCTAACACGTCGTCACCTGCAGACAGTAACAAATCTTCTACGTTTCAGTACTGCTCGTCGCTGTGTCCTAGTATGAAAACTTCTGAAAAGACATTTTGCACTAAGAGTGCGTGTTCATTTTCTTTAAATACCAAAGAAAATATGCCAAATTGTTATATCAACGAAGCAAACGAGGAACAAAATAACTATTTAAGCCCAGTAGATAGCAATGTCGTCATACATTTCGAAGACATCCATAACCCGTGTTATGTAAAATCTTGTAACGTTGTTGACGTTGTAAAAGATTTTATTGTTGAAGGAGCTCAGAGTGAAAGAAAGTTAGACGAGGCCTTGGAGCCCTGTTATTGTGACTGTGAATGTTCTTTTAGGTTTTCAAAGAAAACTACTTATTGTGCTGTTTGTGGAGGCTATGAATGTTTAGGAGACGACTTAAAAGACCTGCCTCAACATGCCAAGCCTTATCCTTGTCCCGTATACCACAAACAGTATGACAAGAAATATATTAAAGTAACAAGCCCTTGGCCTGAAGAACAAGTCCCCGAGAAACAGCCAGATAACTTAAACGTCAAAAGTTCGAAAGTCGGTGGTGCATCTAGAGGAGCATATTCGGAAAAGAAATCGAAAGTAACACATTCAGTAAGATCTCTTTCTGATAGACGATCAGATAGGCGATCTTATAGGAGATCTGATCGAAGATCTGAACAAAAATCCGATAGAAGATCAGAAAATAAAATAAAAAATGCGATAAAAGTAAGGTCTTTAAAAAAACCTAAACCAAAACCGAAACCAGAAATTTCAAAAGTTGAAAAAATATGTATGTACTATTTATTTTATCACCTATTCTCCTTCTTTTCTAACGATGTAACTAGAATCGAATATGGGATTACGTGGTAGAGCCGCTCTGCAGCTATATTATTGTTGTAGCACGAATGGGTCGGCTCGACCGGGGAAGAACCACGCTCTCACAGTATACCAGCGGAAGATAGCGGCTTAATACTGCTGTGTTTCGTGTGGTGAGTGTAGAGCCATTTTTACCGGAAACGAGGCATTCCATTTTAGTCCTCAGGGGTGACAACGCATCTGCGTTTTGATTTAATTGAGGATAAAAATATAGATGTCTATGGGCCACAGCATCCACTTACCACCAGGTGTGTTCTTTGACTGCGAAGACTGTGTGCTTGTTTGTCACCCTTATACTATAAAAAGAAAGATTTCGAAAGATCAATGAAAGAAAATTTTTATAATGTTAAAAGTAGTACATAAAGTAAAGTGACTGTCTAGATCACGTAGCTGAGCACAGGCTTATGAACCAAGGTGGAATGTTGCGTTACTTTGCGATTTGCCAGATTTAATTAGACGTGAAAAAGCCACCCAGCAGATGTTTTGGTAATTTTATACTATCGCGGTCCTCTCGTTTTCTTGACTCTAGAAAATCGAAAAATTATCCAATTGCAATGATTTTTTTAAAAAATCTTCATTATTACGGCGGATTTATGAAGAAAATTACAAGAATAAAATATTTGAAAATTTATATTTGTTTCAAGGCTTTAAAAGTTCATGAAAATGAACTCATTCACGTTTGGCCCATAGACATCTACATCTATCTTCGATTACAAATCAAAATGCAGATGCGTTGTCACCCGTGAGGACTAAGATGGAATGCCTCGTTTCCAGTAAAAAGGGTCTCCAGTTCTCTTCACTAACCATACGAAATACAGCAGCATTAAGCTAATATTTTACGCTGGTATTCTGTGAGAGCGTGGTCCTTCCCCGGTCGAGCCAACCCATTCGTGCTACAACTGTACTATTAATATAACTGCAACATGGCTCTACCACGTATAAATTAATAATATACTATATATTATAATTTTTTTATACACGTACATTATAATTTTATTACATTATGCTTATTTCCGCATAATGTAATAAAATGATATGTCTTGCCCAGTTAGCCCCCGCCCTCCCTCAATTGCGTGCACTATCCCCGTCACCACCACACTAGGGAATACGATAATACGACACGTGTTTCGCCTCTACACGAGGCAGCCTCAGATGAAGTAGACTCTGTGGTGGCTGACCTCTAAGTGAGCGGCGAGCCGAACCAGCTGCTATTTATACAGCTCGTTAACGTAACCGCTCCCCACTTAAGGAAGGAGTGACTACGTCATGTGGCCATCACCACCTGACGTACGCAGCCGTTTGGTGTAAAATTAATAACAGACCGATGCGAAATATCCGCCTAATATAATAATAATTTACTCAACAGACAGCGTACGTTTCAGAATCCTCAAAAGTCTAGATTTATGTGAGTTTTCGAACCTCTGGCATATATTCACCTTTATTCAATATTATGTGAGCGTCTTTCGGTTACGGAAAGGCGAGTACGAGTGTGTTTGTATGAGTCATGGAGCACGTAATGGCCATTAGTCAGCCAGCTTATTCGACAGGCTTTATAGGCTTATTAGGCACGAGATGACTAAGACTTTTTGTGGAATATAAAAATGCTACAATTAGGTATTAAAATCTTTATTGGTATATATCTTTTTACGTGTTATTAAGTAAAAAGTGCATTATTGCATATCTGCGGGTAAATCAACTGACTATATTATTTTTATTTTAGCTCCACTAGTCGAGAAAAAGCCAGACATAAAATATCCCTATCCAGCGGTTCCGAAAAACATGGGTTGGCTTTGGAACGCCGAGGATATTCCTGGTATGAAGGTGAGATGTAAAAATAGTTCCATTTGTTGTACTGTGTTATTTATTTCGTTTTGCACACCTCAAACGCAAAGCGGTGAGTTGGTTTTACTGTCAACTTGACAAGGTAACGCTTCTCGTGCTCTCATTAAATCTGGTATATTATTTTTAATTTTTTTTCAAGGACAAGAAACTAAAGAATAAAAATAAAAATGCTTTAATATTTCGTCATTTTTACATTTTAAACAATTACTAATTATTATTTAAATAACTATATATTTAAATTATAATTAAACGGTAGTGTTTTTGGTAAGTTTATATCTCATAATTTATGTATTTTTACGGTTTAGTTTAGTTTAGTAATATTTAGTTACTTGCTTTATCATATTATATATCATTTAGACATATCTATAATTATATGTATTTGTATTTTTTTGTACACCTCCCTCTTTTTTAATTATCACTAGCATTATACTTTAGATTGAACCCTACTCGCTTACTGTATTTTATTGTGCATACATACATAAACACTCACACCTTGACGCAGAGATTACGGACATCCATTTGCCACGATCCTGACACACCTCTTTCGTCTCTTTTACATCCATATATCGACGCATGCATAAGCGTTGGTTAAGGGTACTTACTCTTGATGTGGCCCGGCCCATCTTCGATACATCGCCAATTTGGTCGATAAACTTTGGTCTAAGGCGTCTTTTTTCCTTTGTCCTTTGGTGTACAATAAATAATACTCGTAATTAATAAATAACTAGATAAATGTCCTTTCATATCTGGGAGGATTATGGAACAATCAGTCCTGTTATTTATACTGTAGTTGTAGTGTATTGGCAGTGTATATTGGCGAACTTCATATGTCTTCGAAATATGTATTTTTCCTCAGACATGTTACGATGTTTTTTTTCACCGCCAAACACGTGGTGGTAAAACAGCCCTTAAAATTGCAATTAATAATTTCATTGGTGCTGACGGTGTTGAACCCGGGTTACTAGCGTACTGCTGCTTCCTGCTACAACAGTTCTAAAAATTGATTGAATATTTTCATTTCAGGCGAAATACATGAAATTATATTAAAGAATCATTTACAAATTTGCAGTTGTTCAAAACTAGCTCATAATTAATTTCATTAAACAAACATTACGTACCTACACATCGTTAACAATATGTTAATTGTGACAAATGAACAATATTTTTTTTATTTATTTGGAAAACTTACAGTTAATTTACAAAAGTAATATAATTGTAACAAAAATGAAGGCCATTTACAAGTTGTCACTTAATATAATACTTTATAATAAATATGGCAAAGTTGTAACTTTACTTTTTTTACTTTTATATTTTTAAATATATAATAAAATATACACAAAATATAAAAGTAAAAGTAAAGTTACAGCCTATAAACGTCCCAATGCTGGGCACAGGCCTCCTTTCATTCCTGAGAGACTTCGAAAATGTTTTTTTCTTAATTCTCAGACATGCAGGTTTTCTTACGATGATACACTGCCGAGCACATAACAATATAAAAGTAAATGTAAAGTTACATTATGTTTTAACTGCCGAGCACCGAGCAGTAAATCTGGAATGAAATATTTTAAAATTGCAATTAATAATTTCAATGGTGCCGGCGGGTATCGAACGAGGGTTGCTCGCGTACTGTGAAATGTACAGCGAGCGCCCCTGAGATACCAAGGTATATACAATAATATTTTTTTTTTGGATATTCTAAATAACATATTTTGAACAGGTCCGACCAAAATGGAGACCTGGTGCAGCTAACAAGATATTAGTTCGTCGATACAAAGCAGTAAGAGAGGGAGTAGATATAATAGCAAAGAAAAAGAGAGCTATGATGCAAAGAAAGAAAAAGTTGGAAATGAAGCCGACACTAGTGGTGAAAAAGTGCAACGGCGAATACACAGTTCAAATGGAAGTATTCAAGAAATACTCTAAAGATCGCTTGCATTTTCAATATCCTTACGATGAAAAACCTCCTCTTATTTACACCATTGGAAAAACTGCAGAGGAAAAAGCTAAGATTCATAAAAAGAAAGAACGTATAGAGCGAAGGGAAACAAGAAGAAAGTGTCGGCTTCTTCAATCTACATTTAGAAATAAATGCCAAGAAATTTGTTTGAAAGCTTACAATCAAGCTATTGGTTTATTGCCTTTGCCTGATCCTAATAAGCCCGATTGTCCATGCTATACTGATTCAGTAAAAAACTTAAGTCCACCTATAGACTCTTGTTCTTGTTCAGATGAAGAAAATATTTCAAGTAGTGATACCGACAATGATGATTGGATTATAGAATTTACTCCCCCTTTGGCTCGTTGGGATACTAAAGTTAAACACCCACCGGTATTGTTAGAGAATGAGTGTCAATATAATTATTTGGATTTCAAAGTCAAATTACTCGATAAATCCGGTAATCCTGTTCCTAGGTACTTTAAAGGTCCTGATGGGAAACAGGAATGCAGTGATCTGGGTGGATTTTGGGGCCCAAAACATGATTGGTTAGAAATTAATAAAGACGGTTACATAGGCCCCGACAATAGGTGGGTGCCTATGAATTTCATAGGTCCTGATGGTATGTTCTATTCTGCCGAAGACGGTTTTTTTACTGATAATACTGGCCGTAATTTACAAATCGGTGTAGACGGTTTTATTGATAAAGATGGTAAATGGGCTTGGTATTGCAATAAAAAAATACCAAGGAGTGAAAAATCTAAAACGTTATCTTCAATTGCAACACGAGATTTCAAGAAAAGTAAAATAGATACGACGCAAGTAATATCAAAGGATAGATTGCATGATAATTCTGAAAAATCAACACCGTCTAACTTAAAGGAAAATAACGAACAAAAATATTCCAAATCGGCAATGATTACGACAGGAAAAGGAAAAGTAAATAAAAGTGTATCCTATTCTTCCCCTAAAACAAACAATCAACTTATAATGAGTGTTTCTGTCGATCAAATAAAATATAAAGCATTACAAAAACCTCGCGCGGCCAATAATGTAATTCGAAATAGATTTGGTAAGTATAACGAAATCATGCAACTGCAAACGTACGATGACGAAATCGAACTTAAATTACATACGAACGCTGATAGAGTTTCTAATACAACCAGAAAGAAAATTTCTCCATTTACTATACGAAGAAAATATCCTGGAAAGCTGGAGTCATTGGTTACTTGAAGCATTTCACAACGATTGGGAATTTCTCCAATAAAATAATTTTGTTCTAATCAATATATTCTTAAACCACAAACCACTATACTATGATATCATCATCACTTCTTAATAACAGCATCTGCCAAAGTGAATAGGCTTCAACATAATCGTCTCGCCTGGCAGATGATTAATGCTTTTGTAGTTTTGCAAATGCCTGTTTCCGCTTCCAGTCAGGTGACATCAGAAGTCAGGCAACATCCCCCTAATAATAGACAATCACTGACATCTGTTTAAATAGGTTAGTGCCACTGGAGGAGAAAACGTCGCTTTAGAGAAAATAGCACATTTAAAAAATAGGCGTTCACTTTAGTTCGGATCAACACTAATTCGTCGCATGGTACTTACTTCAAATAGTTTATGCCATTTTATAACATGCTGATATGCATTTAGTCTGAAATATGTTATTGATCTTGGTAAATCGGCCCTTACACCGAACCAAGCTAGTCAAACGGCGTTAAATGGTGCTTGCGTTTCCGTAGCATGTGGTGATGATCGCCTATAGAAATTGTCCATGCCTAAGAAACGTCGAAGTACGTTGGTAGAGCCGACAACATTCCCTGCGATGATTTAACAAATAATAAAATATTAAAATGAATGACCTACATTACTCCTGACCAATGCTACTTAAAACTAATCAAAACAAGAGCTAAAAATCCAGATGAGGCATTCGATTTAGAGCCGATTTACACTTCGACATGTACAGTATCTTGTTTAGTTCCAGGTCAGTTGATAGTAAACGGTTAAGTGGGTTAAAAAAGTACAATTTTTTGTTTTGAGGGTTGAACGCGAACATGTTGCGTCCTGTCGACTTACGCACTAAACTAAAGTCACTCATTCATAACAGTGAAGAGTTTAGTTGCGGGTGCCAGGAGACGGGAGGGCAACACTTCGTACTTGACTCGCCGAAAAACAGATCGGCCGGCTACTTTACGTACTGATTGCCGTTAAAACGAGATTTTTTACTTAGCTCACCAGGTTCGCAAGTTAACTCGCTACTGTACTTGTCGAAGTGTATATTGGCCAATTACTTTGGCCAATAGTAAATTTAATAGAAAAATCGTGCTTGTTCCACCAGAAGCATCCAAAAAAAAAAAGATATCACCTACACCTGTGTCGATACTGGAAAGTATTTTATAATAGATCTTTCTTTGTTCATTGGTTAAAGAGCCTTCACTATTTGATACAAGTCTGCTAAGTCTGCTATATCGTTACTTGTTTCCTTCAGGTAGTCCCTAATATTGTGTAAGCCTTCATACCTTTGAGGCAGAAGCAACCCGTACTGATGTAGGCTTTGTCCTCCTAATGCTAATACAGCGTCTTCTATTGTGACCAGACATTTACTGTAGATTTCATCTGCTAGATGTTCACCTATAATGCCAGAAAGCCTTTCCACTTGTCGTTTGTAGTCTTCTGATTGGCTGTACCTGTATTTTACCCAAAGACTTAGTGGTTGACAGAATGCCAGCATATGAAAAAGTTGATTTTGGGAGTTGTCGTTTGTAGTTTTGATTGGCTGTACCTGTATTTTACCCAAAGACTTAGTGCGTCTGACAGAATGCCAGCATTATAGAAAAAGTTCATGCATTTTAAATGGCGACTCGCATAAGGATGCTTCCTCTAGGGCAGTATCCCAATATTTGTCGTTTGTAGTCTTCTGATTGGCTGTACCTGTATTTTACCCAAAGACTTAGTGCGTCTCACAGAATGCCAGCATTATAGAAAAAGTTCATGCATTTTAAATGGCGACTCGCATAAGGATGCTTCCTCTAGGGCAGAATCCCAATATTTGTCGTCCTCTAGCAAGCCAAGTTTCATGCAAGCTAATTGAAAAGTTGGTTGGAGGACACCGTCGACAGTCTTCAAGTCATCGAAGGATGATGGACTCCTAACTTCGCGCAGAAGTAAGCGAAGATGTTAACAATCTGTGTTATTCGGGTGAACCGTGTACACTCTACCTAGAGCATATTCTTTCATTATTCCTGGCCAGCTATCTACGGGTTTTCCTCTTTTCCTTCTCACAAATTTATTTTTTTGCCATACATAATAAGAAGGCACTTCCGCTATAGAAGAGTTTTAGTAAAATCACCTGTTTGACATAAATCAAAAATGCTAATAGTGTCGTTTCTGGGCTAGTAACTTCGTAAGCGAGGTTGTAGGAATTAAAAAGGACTCGTTGGCCATTTTCAAGGTGAACAGCTAAATGTACGGCTGTAAAACCTTTCATGTATGAAAAACCCTAAAATTCTCCAAACTGCCTCCGAACTACTCAAATAACGCCCACTCCTATCTAACTTGACTTCGTCCTTTTTGTTTTCAAGCACAAGAGCTGCCTGATCACTGCCTTTATAGATGTACTTATAAATGTAGTTTATCGGTTTAAGAGAATGGCAAAATTCTACATTAATATGTGCCTTGAATGTCCGTGACAGAATCTTATTATAGGGGACTACCCACCTATTATCTACTTCAATGTCTTTAAGTGTAAAGCCACCGTCAGCCGGAGATCAACTGTTGGTAACTATAGTTATCTGTTTATGTATTTTTCAAAATTTGTCTAGGATATTTTTGCTACATTTATTATCTTTCATTTTTTATAAGGTGACAAACGAGCACACAGTCTACCTGATGGTAAGTGGATGCTGTGGCCTATAGACATCTACATTTAACCTCGCTTAAGAATCAAAATGCAGATGCGTTGTTACCCTTGAGGATTAAGATCTAATGCCTCGATTCCAGTAAAATGGGTCTCCGGTTCTCTACACACACCATACGAAACACAGCAGCATTAAGCAGCTATTTTACGCTGGTATTCTGTGAGAGCGTGGTCCTTACCGGTCGAGCCGACCCATTCATGTAACAAATATAATAGCTGCATTGTGGCTCTACCACGTGTATCTACGTTCATGTAGGAAGTATTATTATTAAGGTTCCCACATGGACCTTGTATTATATTGTTTGTAATTATGTCGTATGAAATAGAATTGTCATTTGGATTAGGTATCTCAGCACAAATAAGTTCATCCACCATGTCAGGCAAAATGCGGTGAATCATCCATATCAATATGTGTACGTGAGGCAGACTCCATTTCTGCCATTTGATAGAGAACATGAAACAACGTACCTCTGCAAATATTTTTCCTTTAGTTAGAAGTGCCAATATTTTCTTAACTTTGAGGTGAAAAACCCTGGCTATTATATCGTGTCTATCATAACTTTTTTGCCCAGGCATAAGCATCTCCATGATTTCATCCAATCACGGTAAATGTTATATAGATATCAAGACGACCGTAGCGCCGCACATATTCCATGGTGTCTTGTGGCCCTTAGTATAAGAAGAGGTCAGCACCACCTTTTGACCCAACTGATCAGCATCAACGTCCTGTCTCCGTATCGCATGTTGCAAGTGTATATAACCGTCCGCTCTAATTTACGCCTGATCCTTCCTTATGGTTATATTTAACTCAACCTTTCCGTCTCGATTTTTGCAAACATGTCAACAAAAACTGGCTAGACAACGAACGAAAATATAGCAGATGATTATCTTCTCCTTTTCTAATCATTATACGTAAAAATAAAAACTTGCAGCAGATACCATTTTTTAAGCGGTTGATTGGTCTTAGGATCACACTGGTGTTAAGAAATGGAGTATTCATCCTCGACGTACCAAAACAAAAGTGAGTACTGTGTATATATATATATATATATATATATATATATATATATATATATATATATATATATATATATATTATCGTGACTCTCAATTACAATATTCCGCTTATAAAATTACTGTCCAACAATAACTAAAGTAACTAAATTTGACGTAGGTTGATTCTAATGTCCACTGTGCCGTTTGTAGGTATTTTTTTCAGCATTTATAACAACTTTAAAAGCAGTACATGGATGACCGAGCTTTGCTCGGTATTTTTTTGGAAATCGTGTTTTTTGGAAATATATTTAGATACAAATTAAATACTGATGAAATATGAATAATACTTTTCGATCTTACCGACGTAGTAGAAAAAACTGAACTGGTTATTTAAATAAAAAATCATAAGTGCAATTAGTTTAATTTAATTTTTCGTGTGTTTAAAAAAATACTAAAAAAGGGCTCGAAATAATAGATTTTCTCACAAAAGAAGGGAACTTAAAAAAAACACTCTCGTCCAGGTTGAATTTCATAAGATACAGGTTTACCACTAAAAATAACCAGTTTGTTATAACTCCTCCACTTTAGGGCACTCCCCATGCTGCCTCAGTCAACATCTCAATCCTCGGCATCGATATATGACGAATGACGTACAGTTCCGCGGACACTTGGAATGGAAGGCTCAATTAGCCTCTAAAAAGCTTGGCAAGCTTATCAGAGTGACAGTATTTCATGCCGGCACACCGATTGCAACTTTACAAGACACAGTACCTCACATTGAGTACTGTTCTCAACTCTGGACCGGGGCACTCCACTGCCTGCTTTGTTCACTTGAACGCATCTAGCGAAAAGTGGCTCGAATCGTCAACGACTGAGTTTTTTTTTCTGATCGGCTCAATTCACTGGCGCTACGAAGAGATGTTCATCCGATTGCAATTTTCTATCGCGTTTTCCACGGGGAATACTTAGACAAATAGTTTGAATTAATTCTAGCCGTCAAACTCCACCAACGCACATCAGAACAAAACTCACGGTACCATCCACACCATCTGGTTGCTCGGCGGTTCACCGTGACTATGCGATTATCTAGAAGTTTTTCCCTGCAAGACTACTTTGTGGAATGATCTGCCACTGGTGATTTTTTCCACGGATACGGACTTAGAGGCCTTCAAGAAACGTGCTTATTCCTTTTAAAATAAAAAATAAAATAAAAATAAAAATTGTTTATTTCGGTCTACTTGAATCCATAGGAATTGTTAGTAGAGAAAAACTTACATCTATGTTAGTAATATAATTTATACATTTTTTTTAAATA